AGCAAAGATGTCAGACAAGATTGAACAACAGTGTTAATTCAAACAAGAATATTTTTGCAGCTGTTCCCTCCGAATTTTCTTGGAATTGAAAATTCGCAGAAATAATCCAAATAAATATCTCTCATACTTGGAGTATTAGTGTTTTGTGTGTTTTTATTTTCCTTTCTATGTACTAATAAATGAGTAGAGGTCGTGTTATCTGAAAAAAATGACGGATTGATGAGCATTCAGAGGACGTAGAGCGTCCCACCCATCTTCGCGCGTCGCGCATCCTCCCGCGCCCACCTGGTGGACCATATTTCAGCAACAGATTGATGGATTTTGATTTAAAAAAATGATAATTATTTATTACACAAAAAGGAACAACTTTTGTCATGAACATTTTCTTCTATTTGCCAATGTTTCCCATAAAAAAAAAATCATCAAAAAAACCACTTAATTTGTTTATAACTATTAATTGCACGCACTTACATAAAAAATACCACCGGATTAGGATTTCTCATACCCGAAAACATAAGAAAACACCTCAAAACCTTACCGCACTAGAAGTGCACACGGGAAGGGGGTATTGCGTGTGGACTATATGCAAAGAGCATTGGTAGTATCTCACTGCCTGCTAAATCATGCAAATACTAATAATGGCCCGACGAAGCATCGGTTAATTGGAATGTAAACACCAATTGGGTCTGGAGATCGTGGCAATGCGAATAAAGACAGTTATTAGGTGAGGGGGTGGATTTCTGCTTGGAGGAATCACTTAGTTTCACAGTCGTCTGTGTTAATTTCAGGCTCGCGGAAGCGCAGAATTTCTGCGCGACAGAATCCCCCTTCTCTTTGCTCTGTGACGTAGACGGAGACTTCATATATACAGTGAGCAGGCAGACGCGCGGGGTTCCTTGGTAATGAAAATCCTTTAGGGGCTCGTCTTTGGCACGTCATTGTCTCGCACACTCGGACAAATCGCTTGGAAGCTGCATGAGACACGCAGGCAAACTACTTCTTCTCTTCCCTCTCGAATGCACTTTAAAAGTGTTCACTAATTAAATACCAATAGCCACCGAGATGACCGTAATAAGACATCTATAGCTGTAGTTGAATTATTTCGATGGAACTTGAGAATGTAAAAAACCTCAGATTAAAACGGTATCGCTATCATTGACAACATTTAAATACCTTGGGGCATATTTGTGAATGCGCATCAGTCATGCCATTCTTCCGTGCCCCTGCTTTTTTCTACTCCCTCGTAAAGGTGAAATGCTCTGATCTTGCCGTAGGTCGCGTGTTGATGGCTCTTTATTAAGCCCAGTAGTCGTTCTGCTGTTAGCATAATGTGGACATGAAAATGTGATCGACAACCATGTCATAAGACGGTGGAACTATTTATTTTTTATTTTTGGTTCCACATGTATACCTTCTCGGGTTTTTACATTTTGTTCCCTTTCTTATCTGCGTTACCATGGGCCGACTTACTTTATCCCCAATTGCACCCCATTCGGGATTGGACTGCCAGGAAAACCATGGAAAACCTCATTCGTGCAGCCGGCCGATAATGCAGGGATTCCACTGTGTCATTGGTCACACTGACTCAATGGGCACAGTAGTTCTCTACATTCGTGCCTAGCGACTGTAGTCCCACGCGGTTAGGTGTGCCTAAGCGGACACCCATCCAAGTACTGGGCAGACTGAACGCTGCTTAGCTTGGATGACCGCCGGTGCCACATCCCCCGCTTGACCACTACAGCCACTGTGGAACTATTTTTTTGTGACCTGATATTCATTCATTTTGGTTGGCTTAGTTCCAAATATTTTTTTGTTCTATTTTAAAGGCGTCGCGATTGATGATAAAATAGAGACATCCGGTTGACTTTTAGTCTCAAATTCTTCTATACGTAACAAAAGCCTGGCTAATTAAGACTCTAATCACCTCGTTTTTTAATCTTGCTGTTCCGACATTGAATAGACCCGGGTTCCATACAGCTAAACTTTCTATGATTTCAATGGAAAAAAATATAGTTAATGATGGGAGTGGTGCATTCAATTCAAGATGCATTTCAACGACGGGTTATCATAACATAACATGCAAATAACACAAATATAACAAATAGAGGAGGCGGAGGAGGGAAAGAAGCGGTTTCCGTTTACGAAATCTGTCAGTGCAATGCGTTGTGAATGGATAGCCCGCGGGTAGTGTCCGGAAGCGACGCTTTCACAAAAATTAATCTCCCTCATCACGATGTTATCGAGCGCAGGCGACTCATGTTTGGGTATCCAGACGGAAGCTCGAATGCTGGGAATGGAAAGGGTTAAAAAATTGTTAAAAATATCCTGCCTTTGGTTACGTGAACCGCGAGGAAAATATTGATACACAAAAAATCGGATAATCGGAGAGGATAAAATACAGTACGTGTGAGATAATAACATATCGATTGCTCAAAGCAGATTGATATTGGCAAGATGGAGAGAATGGAAAACAAGCGTAACAAAAATGCTCAATGCGAAGAAAAATGTATGAATCGAAGAATAGACCAAATATATATGAGATTTATAAAGATAGACAATTTTCGGTGGTTATAGCAGATATATTTCATTTTCAGCGACACAAACTGATAGCCATCGTTTCTAATATTTGCGTGGGAAGAAAATCTCCTTGGTGGAACTGTGAAATAAGTGAGGAAAGAACTACAATTCGAAGTGTTATCTCTGTTGCAAATGATTATTTTCCTTTATTGATATGAACGAAATGAGTATGTTCTGAATGTTAATTTGATTCTAAACATTAAATTTCCGGACGAATTCATTGCATGATGGGTACCACGAAATTTTGTTTTTATATTCAATATCCTGAATGGAAATTAAACACAGTAGGCCTGGATTTAAATCAGTTTCAGATCTACTACTGGTCAGAATTTCTTGATTGGACTTTCGGATCAGGATCTGGTAAAATACGAAACGGAGTATCTGCATCTAATGTGGCGGAGTGACTTCCCATCCGATGCTAATCATGCAAATTCCGACTGAATTTTTATGGAATCTAGTACTGATCAGACAGATCGGATTCTAGCATTTTGGTCAGGCATGGATCAAAAACAAGCCTCCCATTTCTCATCTAATATTGATGAATGGTATTTTTTACTCATCAGCTTCTCATTCAAGTCTGACTTGAGTGTTCGTTTGGGGTGATACTCTGACTGAGTATATGGAACGCATCGGCCAGTTATGTGCAGAACAAAGGGTTAAATAATTCTGTAATGTTAGATATGAAATTACTTACTTGTATTAAAGTGTACATCACATTATTAAGTCGATCGAAAGTCTTTTTCGGCGAATGTCAATTCAAAATCCTAGGCAAATTCATTCATTAAGGCAGAGATAATGTTCGAACCCTGCACACAAAAAACGGTAAGAAAAAGGAAGCCCCTGCTCAGTCATTCTATCCTTTTCTGCCTAGGGCTTTAAATGATCCCGTTCTAGGGTTCTTTTCAACCGGAAAAATGACGAATTATCCATTCATTTGAATTATGTTATCTCTATGTGTCCCATTGTGAGAAACGCTAAAACATCCCGAGGAGGAATTTATGTGCCCTCATCATTTTTGTTTATATACCAATATTATTTCTCTCTCAATAGACATATTTTGAAATTAATCAGTATTGACTGATGAATAATTATGTGCTGAATAACACAGTAAATGTGTCAATTTTTAAATCAAATTCGGTCTATAAACCGAGTGAAAATTTAGTTCAATTTTTCTGAACCTAGATTGGATGCAGATCCAAGACTGGTTATTCAATACACTGGTTATACACTGGTTCAATAGATTTTCTCGATTTGACTGTCGAATTGAAATCTGGTAAGGAGCTGAGCAGAGCATCTGTGTCCAACGTGGCGGAATGAATTCCAATCCCATTCTGATTAGTTAAAGTCCGACGGAATCCGTACCAGATTCGATACTAATGGCATGGATTTGAACGAGTGTTAGATTTCTGTTTCGACTCATCAGTGTCTCATGCTAGGATAATTTGAGTTCCCAATTGGAGGCTCAGTAAATGAAAATTATAGTTCAAATATTTCTTGTTTCATTGAGGACATTTTTCATTATTCATTCACTCCATCGAAGCATATAAATTTAGATATAAAATGAACAATTTTCGACGGGAAATTCTTTTCATCTCTTCATTTAAATTTGCTTCATAGATTCGACTGAGTTTCATTTCAATGCAAGCTATTTCAAATCCACTTGGGAAAAAAAACATTTATTCATTCATGTACAGGGTTTAACAAGTCTACCTACTTAATTTTTGTTCAAATACCACCATAAACTTTTAAAATCGTTGAACTGTCAATTAACTTCCTAACGTAGAAAAATTTTCATTTATTGTGGCATCATTATACTATGCGGTGTGAAGTTCATTCAATGCGCATGATTGGGAAACACTATATGTATGTTGCTCTGACAGGGTGACTCGACCCACGTGGCACAACACCGTGTTGTCAGTCGCAGAGGGCCAGTCTTCCGGCGTATCTCACGATCAAGTCATCTCCCTATATTTTGTCGTGGCTATAATAGTTGCTTCTAGATTTCGTGAATCTTAGTTTTAGTTTGTGTAAAATTTTCATTGATTTATCAGAATAATTAGCTTTCTGCGTTTGGTGAGTGCAATTTTGCTATTTTTTCAATTGTCTAACAGATATTTTTCCTCTGATAATAAAACCGTGTTTTGCTGAGGAAAACACGGAATTGTCTCCAAACGTATTTCTCGATCAAAGTTTATAAATACTTCTGATTTTATTGTAAAATCTTGGAAAAAAGAAGAAATTTCTGCAACGATGTACCCAATTGTCATTAAACATACTATCAAACTCTGCAGAAATTCAATGATTCTACTGTAAAACAATTATCAGCAATAATTCAGTGCAACATAACACCGGAACTTCCAATAAATACATTTCACATTCAGTAGCGAGACGCTTGAACAGTGTGTTCCAAATGTTCACTCTTTGTTACTAATATATTCACCCCAATTACATGCCTTTTCACTGACTTCCTTGCCATGATTTACTAAAATTCCATAGGCTCATTAAGCTGATAAAAGATAGAAATTTACTATAATCAATCAGTAACAAACAGAAAAACTATTGATTTATTAATTTTCTTAAATGTCAATAAATGCTCATTTGCTCCACGCCAGCCACGACATGGTAGCTACTCTAAACAAACGAGCTGTGTTTGCACACTGAATATGCGAAATCGAATGAGGAGTGCTTTTATTTCTCGGCGTGCAATTCTGCTTTCGATGCGAACGTTTGCCGGTGACATTTCGATAAACCGCCAACATTCCGCGTTTTGTATTCTTCTTACATATATTCTGTAACAATGTCCTCACCATTCGGTTTGTTTATTCCACTCTATTCCAACCGAAAACTTCTCATTTGATGCTTTCGTTCAAACTTACATTTTCACAGCTTTTCATTTATTTCATCCTTTTACTATTTTGACGTATCTCTAAGGATAATTAAAAACATATTGTCATTTTAAAAAATTTGAGTGTACTGAGCATGGGAATCCATGAATAAAAGACAGCTAGTTGTTTATATTGGGATCCCATTATTGGATACGCGACTTTCGTCAGATATATAAAAGATTTCCACTTGAGGTTCATTGAAATCAAATGATGTCCATTTCTATCATTCCATCATATCATTTCTATCACTTCGTGCTTGAATTGTTTTCCACTACAATTAGTTGATCTCGTTAACGTAACGCGATGCTGAAAATCAATAATTGGCATCGATCAAACATTTGCCACAATTAAATTTCCGAACGTGACGAATAATTTTTCGTTGCCAAATAATTAAATCCCAATCAACCGTTTCCACCCAAAATAATTGAATATTTCTTTCCACATGAAAACCTCTATTAATTACACCTAGCTCGAATTAGTCAAGTGATCGAGATACTTGTTTCATGCTCTCCACATGACAAAACCGGTTCATCGCTTTTATACACTAGAAATATCTAAAACAATCTGACATCATTTATTGCTTAATGGGAGTGTATTAACTGTTAACTGTTAGTTTTATAGTTCGAGAGAGTATCTGTATGCTTCATATAGAGTAAAGTATATATATACACCCTAATAACTAGTTAATCATACTTTGCATCAAGAACACTATTCTGTACTGAGCACTAACTGAAATATTTTGAAATTTCCTACTGTTAGTCACTTAAGCGTGGGGCAGTCAACACAGCTCGCTGAGATCTCCTCATTACAGAATATCAAAGTTTATAATTGAAATTACTACCAGGACAATAATGCAATTTACTCACATGTTTATTTATCTATCTCGAGGGATATTACCCATAGCAGTCGAGAGGAGAAAACAACCCGTCCCTGCTACCAACTCTGTTAATTCCACTCGACATTTTCGATATTTTTCATCTTACAACGTCTATTGATAGGATGGAATTAAGATCAACGGGAGGTGATATTCCGATTCCTTTTATTTTGTCTACCCAGAGAGACACTTCAATTGTCTTGCCATGATAACAACAAAGTGTTAATCTATGAAGAGCAAATAGCTAAACCAATACCAAAAATAATTATCGAATATCTTGTCCAGAAGTTGAAGAAAAAAATTCCAAGAGCGTTTCCAGCTTTTTGTTTACATCAGTGACGCAGAATAATTATTATCCTCATGGAAAATAGGTGACATTCATACGGTATGAAAAAAGGAAAACATAAGTAAACCGAAAAAATTACCTTTTCTATGATCTGAGATAATCGAAAAGAATACCTAGTTTTATTCTATGTAATCCAATGAACATTTTCAAAGATAAAGTTTTGATGGGATAAACATTGTGGTGCAAGGAGCATTTCAAAGCCAAAAACACAAAATACTATTTTATACAGACGTACGCAATAAAATACGGAGTAAGACTTTCACATTTCATAATTTCTAATGTCCCCCATAAGAAATTATAAAACAACAATAGTGGCAAAAGTGCCTGAAATGATTGATAGTGCTTCTTTTTATCCTTCGAGACTTACATATAGAATTCTAGTAGAGGAGTTGAGTCTATGACCAGCGAAGCAGTGTTGACCGCGTTCTCTAAAGGGATGATTGATCATCGGAGCACTCCGCATCGGAGTTTCATGCACTGATAGAAAAACTGGAACGATTCAGTTAAGAAGCCTTGTTAAGAGTACTAATTGCTTCTATCAGTGTGTGGAGAAATGAACCCAACATTTAAGAAACAGGTGACAAGCAACGAAATTCTGATCCAAAATTTACGTGTCTTGAGTAATTGTTTTGTATTTCACTAATAAACAATTCCAGATTCAAGTTGAAATCCTTACAGCAGCGGCCAACTGTGGGCTCCACTATTAGACCTCTATTTATTTGGGAGACTCGTCATTTATAAAGAACCGGAGTATAGTAGTCGTGATTGTCAATGAATTGGAAAAAAACACACATCTAAAATAATAAAACTCATCGGTGTGATGCGAATGGAGGCGGAGGGGTGGTGGATTAGTGCGTCATTAGTGTTATGCCATAATAAATGCAATGAAAGTCCTATGCAAAGTTTCCAATTGTCAAATATAATCGGAAGTTAAAGGATTATTGCACGCGTTGCACTCGTTTCGTATTGCGTTCATTGGTATATCACCCTTAAGGATTTTCTACATGCACCGTAGCGGGGGGGTGTGCGGGTATGGAGGGGTATGACTTTCGTAAGTGTTCCAATCCCTGAATACGAAAAAATCGAGTTTTCAATTACGTCGTTGAGGTGCTATTTGGCGACTTTACTGGAATTAATATTTTTTTAATATCATATATTCATCACGGCAATACGTCAATTGCATTAGAAATTTCTTATGATTGTATTTAATAATTGTTAAATAATAAAAATTCAGTCCGGAACAGAGGCAACGTCGCCCACTAGAAAATTTGGGTGAGACGTGTTGGTAACATTGGCTCCCCAGCCAATTTTTGCATTGACGGTGATATTCGAGGGAACGGAAAATGTTCAAAAAAATATTTTGTGGAATGTTGTGGAATATTTTAGTTCAGTGTATATGGAAATTCCTCTCCAGTTCTCTCTCAAAGTGCGCTCTTCTCACATAACCTCATCACTCGTCACTGGCCACGATGTCATCGATGTTACGTTTCAACGGGAAATGAGTCTCTCAAAAACAATATGACAGGAAACTTTTACAACGAAAT